ACACCAGAGGCATTGCAGGTGTGCTGCTGGCCTTTTAAACACTCCACTGCGTTCAAATTTTAAAATGGAATATTGTAAATATTTGTTTTCCTATCGGTTATCAATTGTTACGTCATAAGCAACATAATTTTAAGGTATTTTATTTATATACTTTTGTACCTTCACTTATAATATAGATATTAGGTTATAACAAAAATGTAAACAGGCGGACTTATCTTTTAAAGGAACTTCTTCCAGTCAACCTTGAGCACCCGAAAGGAGAAAGTATTTATAAGGTTTGTATATAAAGCATAACATATATGGTGCAAATATAATACTTTAAATAAAAAAAAATACATGTTTATTTTATATTATTTATATATAAACTATAACGCTCCTATATTTTTTTATACAACTTAGAATGGCAAACAAGCTGACGGCCCACTTGATGGAAAGTGGTAATCGTCGTCTATAGACATGAGCAGTACCATGGACATAACAGAATATACTGTTTCGCCCATGATATATATATTTAATCCAGATATATCTAATACGTCGTCTAAAAGACTTTAATCACGCTTTCACAATATAAGCAAATATCGATTGAAGACGAGAAACACAGGTGCAAAACTGCTAAGTCAGAAAAATTTATTCTAACGAATGTGTTCGTGGAATCTTTATTAATAAAGCAAATTTCGCCGTGTGTGTTCTGGCATAGAATAGACCACGCCTTCTTTTCTCATGGGTGTCGTAAGAGGTGACTAAGGGAACTTATGGTCGTGGGATGGACAGCAGCGTCCCTCTTAAAACATCTCTAAAAATCTAACTGCGATTGCCAACTCCAAGTTTTTTTTTTTTTAAATGGATGATAATAGAATGGTAACCCCACCCGCGCTATCGGTATACACCGACAGGGCACCAGTAAAGAATGATAGGTGAGGATGAAGCAGGTCAATTAGCCCATCGTAACGAATTCAACAAGAATTGTTCACGATGGTTTCCAGGGGGACCACATGGGGGTCGACCTAATAAGGTATACTGCTAGCAATGGGGCTGTCAAACTCCATTGCTAACAATCCTTTTCCCCCTTCCGAAGAGGAGTTGACTTATGTTTATGTTTAAGCGAGCTTATGTTCAGCAGCGGACAGTTAATGAAATAATAAAGGAAATTTGTTTCCTCCTGGCGCCATAACGGCTCGATCAATCCTCATGAACTTTGGCTTTCACGTAGTGTTTGGGATGGAGAAGTCTTTTTTTATTAAACTAGTGTTGAATCATTTACGTATTCACTATGTTTCAAATCAAAATTCACGATCCTGATATAGCAAATAAGGTGTAAACAGGTCAGGGCAAGCTTGTGATGAATAATTGCATACAGTATGCATAGGTAATATGGTTTTCCTATGCGTTGTTTACTTAGCGCCGGCGCCAGTAACTTGAACGTTCTTAAAACAAACCGCTGTGTAAACAACTTAGCTTGAGTATATTTTATTCTACGGCTTGCGTGGGCTTTAGATTTATCTTCTAGATAACTTGGAAAGCTATTACTATGCGAAGTATAATCGAAATGTGTCTAGTAGCTTCCAAATCATAAAAATGTTAACAGGAAAACAAAGTTTTTAGAGTAAGCAACGCGTGTACATTGTCTACCATCCACATACCGCTTACCATCAGGCAGGTCATAAGCTTTAGTAGTATAGAAAAAGTCTATAACTTTTTTATCACCTACATTCGGGATGTATAATCTATATCAAATACTTAAACGTAATTGTAGGGAGGAAGGGATTGTTAGTCATGCCGACTACTAGTCCTATTGCTAGCAATATACCATGTCAGCTCGATCTCCACGTGGTCCCATTGGAAATCATCTTGCTGAATTCTAGGTATCATTACGATGGGCTAACTGACCTGCCTTTTCATTCTGACTAATACACCGTCACTGGTGGCCTGCCAGTGTAAACCGTTAAGCGCAGGTGGGGTTACCATTCTAATTAATTTACAAGCTGAATTATAATTAATTTACGAACTGCTTCAGTAACTTACAATATGCCAATAATATTTTCATAGGAAATTTTGTCATAATAAATTTTACATGCTCGGCGAAATTTAAGCATTTCGAGTGTTATGTTCGCCACTACAGGAACATGGGGGGAAGCGGTTGTTAATAATGCGGACTACTAGTCCCATTGCTAGCGTTACACCCTATCAGGCCGACCTCCCCGTGGTCCCCTTGGAAACCGTCGTGCTGAATTCCAGGTGTATTCATCACGATAGACAAACTGACCTAACTGACTATCCTTTCATTCTCATTTATCATCCCTCACTGGTGCACCGCCAGCGTATACCGTTAGCGCAGGCGGGGTTGCTATTCCATTATCATGTTTAAAAAAAAAAAAAAAAAAACTACGGCGACAGTCAACTAATGCCTATAACTACACTTGGTAAATGCTATTTGATAATTTTACTTATCGAATATTGTTTAGTTAATCGAGAACATCGATTCAAAATTGCATATAATATAGTAAATAATAATTATTTAATTATAATTATTACTATTAATTATCTCATAGACCGTTTACAAGCAATATTTTCAATACTTTTCACCGTATAATTTACATTTCTGTTTTCCCAAAATTTGACTGAAGAGAATACTGTATAGCAATTAAGTCTGTTTTTATATACAAAACAATATTTGTATGAATGAATGAATAAGTATAATTTATTTGCATTATACAATATAACAATTGTATAAGGACAGTAAGGCAATTTGTAATATGGCCAAGAAAGAATAAATATGTCCTACGTAAATATAAGATTTAAAATTCCTACTTTGAAATTAAAATCACAATCCATTCACAAACATTAGAATACATATATAATATGAAACGGCGACAAAAAAATCTCAGGACGAGGTCACGACGAGTCGACGACCCGGAGGTCAATGGTCAATAACGTATACGACATACGAACGACCGGAGCGTATTATGATTTCGCACTGGAATAGGCGCCAAGTCGCCAAGTATATTTGGCAATAACACTTGCAGGATGACGTGCGTATTCCCGTCTCGAAGAAAGTAGGTCTGTTGCGTAACATACCCCAAAAACTTAACTACCCCCAATTCCACTGAAATACATGTCGCATGTGTATTTTTTCCGCTATAAACAGCGGTTTCTATTGTGTTTATTTCTATTGGCATGCGGTCCTGAAGGAGATCTATGGCAGCTGTTGCGTAACATGCTTAAGCTAAAGAATACCCTCATTTCCACTAAAATACATATCGTTCAAGTAATTTTTCGCTAAAAAAACAACGACTTTGACGGGTATGAAGTCCAGAAGAAAGTAGGTTTGTGGTACAAATAGCCGTTGTATAATACACTCCAAAAACTACCCTCATTTTAACAAAAATTCATATCACACAAGTATATAAAAAAAAAAAATTTCGATAAATATAGAAATTTGAAGACGTAGGTTTATGACACCTGTTGTAATAAATAAATGGAGGTAAAACCTATAAGGTTTTACCTCCATTTTTATTAAAATACATATCGCTAAAATATATTTTTCGCCAAAAGACAACAATTTCGTTGGACATACGAGTCTTGAAGGAAATACGTTTATGACCACTGTTACATTACATAACAGACTCCAAAAGCTTTAACCACATTTTCACTAAAATACATGTCGCACATGTATAAAAAAAACAATGATCATGTGGTACAAAATGGGCTTGGACTCCTAGAGGCAAGAGAAGCGGTATAGACACTCCGTCTTTGACCTAGTGTTCCAATATAGTGCGAGATCTTAAGAAAGCCCAACTGGCAAAAATGACAAGATAGAATACCTTAGCGTAAAAATGTAAGGAGACCTGACCATAGATAATTGGATATGGAGAGGGGGGGGGGGGGGGGGGGGGTGAGCGAAAAAGAATAAGAGAAAAAGAAGCGATTTCTATCGTAACAAAACACACTAAGGAACGTCAAGATATATCTTAAAACCGTTCAGAAGTATGGCAATGCCGCAAATATCTGTTAATCGTCAAAAATAATTGAATATTTTTCAATGTTTCTTACTAATAATTTAAAAAGTGCCCAGAGGGAGGGAGACTTTGTACAAAAGTCGATTGCTTGGGTACCTCTGTGCCATTCTTGTTTCTACCGTGAAGCAGTTGTGTTTGCATGACTGTGTTTCGGTTTGAAGGGTGGGATATGGCGTGAATTTACAGGGTACAGAGGAATAACATCTGAGTTCTCAGGAATGGAAACGCTAGGAGGGTATCATGGGCGAAACAGTATACTGCTCATGTCTATAGGCGACGGTTACCACTTTCCATCAGGTGGACCGTAAAAAAAAAAGAAAAAAAAGGATAGTGAACTGGAATGTTTATCATGTAATAATATTCTTATTACGCTGCCACTGGCGTTATTGGCAATATTGTATTTGAAAAATTCCGAAGCAAAATATGAAGTTGGTGCAAAATTTTAATTGGAGTTTTATATGAAATGTATTCGTGCTTTGTATTTTTAATAGGCTAGTAGAGCACTTTTTGAATAATCCGTTAGAAACATTAAAAATAGGCTTTGAAAATTGACAGATAACTGTGACGTTGCCACATTTGGATATGCAACAGTTAAATACGCACTTAAGCACATTATACCGATAATAACACAATCGTAATGTAATCGTATATATTACTGAATCAGATTTAGCAAAGGATTTTGCTCAAAGCAAAGAAGAACCTGACATTAGTCGTTACATAACTAAAAAAGAAACGTAGATAAATAGAAATATAATTTTTAAAGCTTATGTTAATTTTTTATATTGAATAAATGTAAAAATAGGAGGTTAACGAGCGTTTGCAAATTATCAAAGTCGATTCAGAATTGGTGAAGACATCAAATTAAAAAAAAAAAGGACGAATAGTGTAAGAACTAATATAATATAGTTATTTCATTTGCACAGTATCAGATTGAAATCGTTAGAATGTAATTATAAACTTAAATATTTATGTTAAGTTACATACCTTGAACTCCACTTTTGTCTAAGAAATTACTTAGTTGAAATGTAGAATTACTCGAGGCGAGGTATTGTGTAAATCTCTGAAAACAAAGAGACACACAGCATCAGTAATACATATTAACATCAGTACATATATAAAAATTACATTCATAATATATTTAACAAGGTTTAATCAGCTATAGTATGAAATTATCATTTTACTTTTTTTATTAAGCGTTAAGAGCGTTAATGGCCAAAACGTATTAATTTTGTAAATCAATTTTCAATAACAAATTTCATTTTTTTATAAAAAATTACTACCATGATAAATGCATAACAAGTTTTATTAAAATAATTTTAACAGAATTTGTGTTCTCTTGTTTCATATTTGTATTGCACAATAAAGCTTATAGAAATTAAACAAGATGTGTCCAAAGCATGTTAGTATAAAAAATAGCCAAATATATTAACAAACTTTTACATTTAATATTAGTTATATAACTGTGTTTTACATTTTTTTTTTTTGATTTATAACAAAAACCACCTTCCGTTATTACAAAACCAGTTAATTTGATTTCAAAACTAAGCTACTGAAAAGATTCCGATACTGTGGCACCAATTTGTAAGTATATCCGTTGGGATAAAAAAAAAAAAGAATTTTCCAAGTCGATTTATAACTGACGGAATTATTAGGTAACAAACATAAAAAATATACAATAGAATTGAACACCTTTTTTCTGAAGTCTGTTAAAAATATTACTGGTAAATAATTGTATTTACCTCTTTCAACGTTTCGACTAGGTAACGCACAAAACGTGGCCACGAGCAAACTGTTCCATAATTGTTTTCATGAACACCATGGTAATAGGTACTAAATGAGAATATTTAGTAACAAGTATAATTTTGAATCAAATTACATCACATCTAGTCATCCTAGCTAAAGTAAGATTTACATCAAACGGCGTAAATAAGTGCGCGTCAAAGCGCATTTTACTATGTAGAAAGAAAACTTAATAGAAATTTTATTAAAATATGAAAATCATATTGGTGCAATAAATGGTAAAATAAAATATTCGAATAATTATGGAGTGATATTTTAATAATATTTCTATACAAATAAATACAATAATAAATGTTTGAAATTAAATCGTTTTCGTGATATTTATTATTTTCATGAAACTTGGAACCCACTCGGCTTTGCGGATATTTCACTTGACACAACGGAGAGCGCGAGCATTCCGTAGAGATTAATTTTCTTGTTCGAACGAGGGCACTCACGTGGCGTATCAGGTGCATTTGCTCCGGCGCGCACCGTTTGATGTAAATTATACTTATATTTTAGAGAATTCAAATAGGTGGGGCACAGTTTTTTGTTGTATAGTAAGAATATTGAAATGAGTTTGTTTGTTTTAAGCAGTTCTATCCAAAATTATTAACAAAGGCCACGTAGTATTAAGTTTGGCACCTGTTTATAAATATTTGCATGCTTCATGCGATGTAGGCATGCAAATATTTATATTTTATAAAAATTGCAATTTATGTAGACAGATGCGTTTTTCGAAAGTACTGTGTAATTTTGTGGTTGTTGTTTTATATTTTGAGTAAAAATTCTAATTCGAGAACCGTAACAGTCCTGAATTGTTAAAATAATTGTTCGAACTGGGCACTACACGAGTATGTTAAAAAATAACATTAACAAGACTTTATAAGTGTGTTTTAATTTTTACCAAAACCCAAATAGATGAAGTAATATTCCATTTCCATACAATTGAAATTGAATATTATAAATACGAGTATTTTTAAAAATATCTTAAAATGTTTTGAATATAAATGTAGAATATTTTTGCTACCAAGCGACTTAATACTGTGACCTATCCGTGTCTCTACGACATCCATAGTGAAAACATATTTTTTCTACCGACTTCAAAAAGAAGGAAGTTCTCAATTCGGTTGTAATTTTTTTGTTTGTTACCTCAGTGACAAACAAAAAAAATGTGCAAACTGATTTGGGAAATTCTTTTTTTATCTTGAGTTTGGATTGGCCCCATAGATATTTTATCAAAATCGGTTTAGTAGTTTAGGTTCGAAATCTAAATAACTGGTTTTACTACAATTGATTTTTTTTATGGATCACAATCTTTAGTTGTATTTATTGTTTTTTTTTTTAGTTATAACCTTATAAGTAAATTAACAATAATTTATAATTTTATTGTTAATTTACTTATAGATGACTAAAAAAAGTGTTTATCTATCTATCTAATACATTAAGTGAAGAAATTATAAAACTAGATCCAGTGGCTCTTGAGGAAATCACGATCAATACAAACTGAGGTTAGAGAACATCCCATCTATTGATGGTGGTTAAAAAACAATGGCCGGCGTGTTATTGAGCAACATTCTTTGTAAATTAAGAAGGACATCGATATCCACGTCGCTTTATTGATACAAGTGGTTACTCTGTCGCTGTACTATTATGACACGTATAGCTGCCCGCAGGGTTATCACCCAATCTGTTATTTTAGCGGGCGCGTACGACCTTGAGCTACCTAATTAATGGTATTTTTAGATACTGCGACACGCGATTTCAGGTGTTATTCCTATCGATATCCACAGTAAAGGTGATGGATTAGTAAACATATTTTATTTATGTCTACATATTGAATTACTGGTTCAAAATGACCGCAATAGGACACAGAAACTATATTTTTGTGTATCTATTTGGATCAAAATTTAATACAAAACAAGAAAGTGTTTGCTGAAATTTAAAGGTGTTTGTAATACTACCATAACAGACTCAAAGTTATGTCTACTATAAGATCTACAAGGGACTATGTTATTGGAAATTATAAATTGTGGACTATTTGTGAAATTATACCAATATTGGGTGACAGCCCTACTACATATGTATTCGTACAAACATCTCACACGGTCTCCGGTGAAATAATTGTGATAGTCCTACCATATTGTCCATTAATCTATAAATAATATATAAGTGAAATAACATTCTCAAAGAGTAACCACAAAATCTCTGAAAGTATTTTTGGTTTGATCTTTTTTTTTTGTGATTTAAATAAATTAATTTTTATTCAAAGCTGTCATTTGGCAGGCAGATTCGATATTCACTTTGAAAAATAGTGTTTTTAATTCAGTGGGAATGGAAAAAAAAGTGATTCTGGGCGGGCGAAAGAATTTCCTTCTAGAAGATTATATTGTACTAAGAGAAACTAACGTAGTGTAAGACAACCACCCACTAGATGGAGTGACGACCTGAAATGCATTGCATGCCAGTGAATGCAGGTGGCTCAGGACCGTTTTTTATGGCTGTCTATGGGAGAAGCTTATGTTCAGCAGTGGACGAATAATGGTTGAAATGATGATGAAGAGAAACTAGACGTCTGAAGACTACTGAAAATTCGTTATCTACTCGGAAATTGATCAGACTGTGAATTGAAATTGAATCGAATTATCGATCATCAACCACTACACTGCGTATGTCGATTATAATCGATAACAATACCTTTAAATCGAATATCATTGGAATTTTACGGAAGCGAATCACGATTTGCGCTCGTTAAACTATGCCTATGATTTAGAATATTGACCGTATATGTACGTTCAAGTGTGAAGTGACGTAATGGGATGGAACGATCGAAGAATTTAAAACATATTCAACATGTGCGCTCTGGTATAGAGATGTCTACAGATTACAGATATATATTAGATGCGTGATATACGGAGTAAGTATTTCGAGCTACATAACCAAGTATATATTTCTTCGCAAAAATACAATTTCAAACGTAAACATACATACTGGATAAGCTACGAGATATTACGTAGACTTATTTTCGTAGTTTCGTGTAATATAATAAATGTCAAATATCACATCTATGGCGTGGTACTCAAGCCAGGATATCCCATGTTCCTGTGATATGACCAATCATGCAATGAATCTGAAGACGCGACCCAGAACAATTGGGGGGGAAAGGCATTGTTAGTAATAGGGTCTAATAGGGGGAGAGATTGTTAGTAACCAATAGTCAGGTCGACCTTCACGTAGTCCCCCCTGGAAACCATCGCGGTTGATTCTTAACGAAGTCACGATGGGCTAACTGACCTGGAAGCCTACCATGAAATAAAATTCCGTAGTTTCGGACTCAATTTCGTGTTTTGGTTCACACCTAAATCGGACCAGTAAATGGAGCTTAACATTTCTGTCGTCATAAATCCTATCATAATAGTCCCAAGGAATATTTTTTTTTATATTTTTAATGTTTTTAAACAGTAAATATTATGTAATTTTAACTTTAAATTTGTGTTTTGTTCGGCTCCGAAATTTCGGAAAACATTTAAAGGTAGGCCCTCTGCTTTCATCCTCATACTTATCATCACTTAATGGTACTCTGCCAATCGTATACCGATAGCGCAAGCAGGGTATCCATTCCATTATAACCCACTAAAAAAAACACTCCATGTTTACCCATTAAAGAAAAAAGTGTGTAATGGATATTAATAAATGTGAATTATGTGTTACTTAGCGGAAGTTCTTTATTTAGCTTGTACTACGGACATTGTAATGCAAATAGAGAAACTACGTATATATTACGTCACACGGTGGATGGACACGCTCCGGTATTATATACGGAGCACACTTTTTTTTTATACAGCTTAGAATGGCAAACAAGCTGACGGCCCACCTGATGGAAAGTGGTAACCGTCGCCTATAGACATGAGCAGTACCATGGACATAACAGAGTATAATGTTTCGCCCATGACACCCCCCATGCGTTGCCATTCCTGAGGACTAAGGTGTTATTCCTCTGTACCCTGTTAATTCACTGCCATATCCTACCGTTTAAACTGAAACACAGTGATGTAAACACAACTGCTTCACGGTAGAAACACAAATGGAACAGAGGTTCCCAAGGAAACGAATTTTGTACAAAGTCTCCCTCTGGTGAACACTTATTGTAAATTTATATTCAGGTCACGACTCTTAAGGGTAGGCTGAGAGTAATGGGAATTTACACTTATAAATATGTCTTGCTTCACGTATTCTATAATGGGTGAAGCAAGTGGGTAAATTGACTAATATATATACTTCTTTTATGTACCTTGCTTTTTTTGTATATGTATTCTTTTATCTCTTTTTACTGTGTATGTCTATCTGTCTGTTGTTATTTGTGTGACGTAAGTAATGCAAATAAATTATATATATATATATATATATATATATATATATATATATATATATATATATATATATATATATATATATATAAGTAATTGCTATTTATTTGTATTTATATTATTGTATCACTTAATTAAAAAAAAAAAAACCTTTTAAGACCAGATACCTCTTTCAGAAATTTAGACATTACAAGATTTATCTTACTTCATACCAAGTACCTTGTGGGTAGACAGAATTAGGGTTGCCAACTATGCTGTTAAAAATAGTATTATACTATTTTTATTGTTGAACAAGAATAAAGTATACAAAATACTGTTTTCAGTATCAAAATGCTTAACATGATAAGATTTAGAGGCTCACACATATTTTTTTTTTTAATTTAGTTGACCACTGACTGAACAGTTTGTGATGTTCAGTGCAGATTAATTTAATAAAAAATAAGCTCCTCATTTATTTTTAGTTATAATTGTGGTGAGGCATTTGATGTTTTTTAATAAAGACTGTAAATCAATAAGTTGTGCGAGAAACTCTAAAACATATGTATTTAAAAAAATAAATATAATATTGTTAATTTTTTTCTAAAATACTGTTTAATATTCTTCTCAGACCTAAATATACCTTTACTTCTTGTAAAAAAAGTTGGCAATCCTAGACAGAATTGAGTATAAGAAGCTACCTTACAAACATTTCTCGCTTTATCAACTTCCAGAATAGCCCATGGTCTATCTAAACATTATGGGGTTTTTTTTTAATTGATGATAGTGGAATGGTAACCCCGCCTGCGCTATCGGTATACACTGTCGTAACATTATGGGGTTGGTTTAGAGTTATCAATCATTTAAAATAACGATCGATTATAGTTAGACTATAACATAATTATATCGCCGTGTGGTCCCGGGATAGAATAGGCCACTCCTTCCTTTCCCGTGGGTGTCGTAAGAGCCGACTAATGGAGGGCGAGGGACGGGCAGCAGCGTCCCTCTTAATACATCTCAAAACATAAAAGCTTATCTGGGGAGAAAGGGATTGTTAGTAATAGGGTCTAACTGACCCATTGCTACCAATAATAATCAGGTCGACCTCTATGCGGTTCCCCCTGGAAACCATCGCAGTTAATTCTAGTAGAATTCGTCACAATGGACTAACTGCCCTGCTTTCATCGTCACCTATCATCCTTCACTGGTGCCCAGTCAGCGTATATCGATAGCGCAAGCGGGGATACCATTCCATAGTCATTCATTAAAAAAAAAAGGCTAACTGTGGTTGCCAACCCGCTTGCCAAGCGTGGCAACTACTGGCAAAACTTCCCTTATGGGAAAGGCTTATATTCAGCAATGGACAGTTAAAGGCTGAAATAATATAAAAAAAATACCATAGATACCATAGACATGCCACTCACCTCATTGCCGTACGCTAGTAGATGGTGTACTGTGATGAGTGCTTTATATACTACCACCCAATTCGTGTTCTGCGTGCGCTCGACGAGCAAGTTCGCGAGCTGCGGTATTGACACGTTCGGCTCGTTTGTGCAGTGTACTAAATCTGAAAAAGAGGATAAGAACGATTATAACAAATTACAGATAAACTTAACAAACGACAGAGAAAGACTTAAATATAATAATAATAATAAACTCTTTACTGCGCACAGTAGAGATGTATACAAAGAGTATTTATACAGAATATGCATATATAAAAGGCGGCCTTATCGCTAAAAGCAATCTCTTACAGACAACTTGACAAAAAATGCTGTATCATCATCATCGTTATCACCATAAAATCATTATTTAATCTGTTAAAATAGCTACTGTTAAACATAGGCCTCCACCAGAATGCAAAAGGAACAATTCTAAGTCACCTGTATGGGTACGTCAGACTCATTATTTCTGGCATCATTTAACTTGCTTACATGTTCCGATTTCAATCGGGAAATATAATAACAATGAAGTTACCGAGTAAATAAGATTTTCATGTCACAAGGAAGGCCGACGCGCGATCGATGCCTCTGATGTTGCAAACTTTCATGGTGATTACATTCCATCAGAAGGAGCGTATTTTTAAGCAACTTGGAATACAAACAGGTAAAGGATTTATGCAATTTGATGGAAAATCAAATTCTCCGCAGCCTCTCATTATGCGAAAGCTTTAAATTACTCAACGAGCCATGGAAAGGGCTTTTTTTATGATTGAAAATGGTATGATAACCCCGCCTGCGCTAACGGGATACGCTGGCGGAGCACCAGTGAAGGGTGATAGATGAGAACGAAAACAGGCCAGTTAGCCCATCATGATGAATTCATCAGGAATTAACCATGATAGTTTCCAGGGAGAACCGCGAGTAGGTCGTCCAGGTTGGATATATTGCTAACAATGGGATTCTCAGTCTCTATTACTAACAATCCATTTCCCCCCTAACCATGAAAAGGGCTATGCTTGGAGTTTCTTTGCATATCAGAATCCGAAGAACTGATAACCAATCCGAAAGGAAGAAAGGTTCTTGAGTGCCGTACGGGCAAATGCAATGCAAACGTTACCCCACTAGATGCGTAACGAAATCAAATATATTGCAGGGAGTCGGTGGATGCAAGGGGATTAAGATCGTTCCTTATGGCAGCCTATGAGAAGGCTTATGTTTACCAGTGGACAGATAACGTCTGATATGATGATTATGATCCTTTCACTACCATATTGACCGCCTACTTATTTCTCGGTTTGCCCAATGGTGAACTGGTAGAGAACATCTTTTGATGTTAAGTCCTCCACATGTACATAGTTTTAGTGTGCATTGAAGTTTAAATAAATAAATAAATATTTACTCATCAAACCGAAACATAACCACAAAAGATAAGCTGTTCCCTGGCAGAAGCATGATGCACATATATATATATATATATATTTTAAAAGATGATAATGGAATAGCAACCCTGCACTATCGGTATTCGATAATAGAGTAGAAGAGATACTATACTCATGGTTTATAAAAAAAAAATATTGATAATGGCCGGGAGATTACCGCGGCCCATGAAGGGATAGAAAAAACGAACAAGCCTGCGAGCAAGTCATTACCGTATATTAGTCTCGCTAACTTCGGTTTAAAAACAACTGCCTAAAGTACTGGTTGATACAATACAAGGCTATTATTATATTTAAACATCGAGTAAGGTCAGTGAATAGCATAGCTAAAATGTATTATTGTTCGCGTGAACTTGACCCCGTGAACTAGAAACAATCATATGGATTCTCTTCAGCACCGAGCAGTAGCTAAGTACCTAGGTTTTATTCAAAGGATTTATGTAAATAGAATGGTATCACCCATAACCAATAGTGAGGACAAGATGCCTTAAATATTGTTCCGCAAACTATAAAAAAAATATAATGGTAACATCACCACGTCTGCGCTATCGGTATACGCGGACGAGACACTTTTTTAATGGATGATAATGGAATAGTATATGAAGTATTCATAAAGAATTAATCAAGATGGTTTCCATGGCGAACCGCGTGGAGGTTGACTTGATGGGGTATATTGTTCGCAATAGGGCTGTTAGATTCCATCACCTTTCTCTCCTGGCGAGGCACTAATGAGATAAGTGATGATGAAAGGTCAATTAGTCCATCATGACGAATTCTACAAGAATTAACTAAAATTATTTCCAGGGGAACAGCGAGGTGGGTGATCTAATAGGATACATTGTTAAAAATGGGGCTGTTAGACTCCGTTACAAATAATCCCTTTCTCTATCCCAATTTACGCTATTGATTTACGCTGATGGAAAATCAGTGAGGGATGATAATCGAGAATGAAGGCAGGCCACAAACGGATTAACAGCATTGTTGGTCCTAACATTGGTGGAACCAACAAGGCTTGGAACAACAACAATTGGAATAAACTCCATAGCAATTTTGTCAATATAACAAACTCTTAAATTACCCATATCTTTAGAGCTAAACCAGAACTCACAGTAAAACGTATACTGTGTAGTGTGTACGAATGGAGCGTAGATTGTGTAATAGATTGCCAGACAAACATATCAATTACCTGGCTTTATGTTAGGTTACCCTGTAGGTACTCTGAAGCAGTGTCCGCTGCGTCATAACACAGGGAGTAACCTACTAAAACATAGCGGTCATATTGCGAACTGAGGGTTCGTGACAGAGGGGAGAAGCAAATAAATCTAAAATGTTACTCGCGATAAAGTATTTCCAAAATAATCTTTCAACTGCTAAAAACAGTATTAATGAAAATCTAGTAAATCTGTATTATAAAAGAGAAACGCAAGGTATAATTTTTTTTTAATATTTTAATGGAATAACAATCCCGCCTGCGCTACCGATATACACTGGCGGGGCACCAGTGAGTGAAGATAGACGAGGATGAAGCAGGTCAGTTAGCCCACCGTGAGGAATTCAATAAGAATTAGCCACGATGGTTTCTAGAGGGACCTCGCGGAAATCGATCTATATATATTGCTAGCAAAGAGGCTGTCAAATCCCATCAATAACGTCCAACCCAACGTATAACCATAAGGGAGAGTTTTACCAGTAGTTGCCATGCTTGTCGGGCGGGTTGGCAACTGCAATAAGGCCTTTGATGATGTTTTACGAAGGACACTGCTGCCCATCCTCCGACCATTAAGTTCCCATAGTCGCCTCTGACGACACCCACAGGAAAATAAGGGATGGCCCATTCTATGCCGGAATCACACGGTGAAGAATCTTTATAATTCTATAGGTATTGCATAAAATACGATGGCTAATCACTAAATAAAGTGATTACAGTATGTGAATAACTGATTATTTTACGATCATACAACGCAATCATTAAGAGTGAGATAAAGTAACAAATGGTATAGAATTGAAACGGGACAATAATAATACAAGCTTTCTTATAACAACATATACGCAATGTCTGAATTGAAATACGTTTATTTGCGATTGGTTTTCTATATTGACTCGTTCTTCGGCCCTTAATTAAATAAAAGAATCGGTTTGTTATCTTTCTGCACCTTAAAGGCTAAAACAATCGTCATGAAATTTAGCTACACATATAGTATTCGATATAGAGAATATAGCATATGATAGGCTTTTTGTCCCGATCAACCAATAATCGCAATTACGCGGACGAAGTCGCGGGGATAGCTGCTGTGTAATAAGGTTGAATTATTACTTACTACCAGCTGCAATAATTCAATCATCATCATTATCATCATCATCATCATCATGTTATACTGATTCTTGTGAATAAAGTTGAGGAGCTACAGTTAATTAACTATACTATTTAGATATGTTTGGAATAAAAGAATTGCATGTAGATTTATTTTTTAATCATCATCATATCAGCCTATAACTGTTCACTGCTGAACATCCCTCCTCCTTTGGGGGTTTTGCCAATAGTTGCCACGCTTGATAGGCAGATTGGCAACGGCAGTTAGGCTTAGAGATGGTTTAAGAGGGACGCTGCTGCCTATTCCTCGCCCTCCCTTTGTCGCCTCTTATGACACCCACGAGAAAGGAAGTGGTGGTCTATGCCGGGACCATACGGCCAAATATTTTGATAAAATTTATTACCGAATAATAATCTAATAGGGTCATTTAAAAATGTTTGTAAAATTGATAATTTCTGTACTTCGCCAAAATAAAAAATTTATGACAATAAAACTTACATATATACATACATACATATCTGTCACGCCTGTTTCCCATTAGGGTAGGCAGAAACAATGGAACGCCAAATGCTTCGATTCAAATAATAAAACTTAGTAGTTACATAATATTCGAATAGAATATATACGAGAACTACCATTAAATCATTTTAAAGTCAATTTAAAACGTTGGGTCCAGGAAAATATTTTTATTAGGGGATAAAAATATGTATTAAAAAATCTTAAAAATTTGACGTTATATGCTATCACTGCTGTTTGTCAGAGATCTTTTAAAGTATTCACAATGATTTACAACCGATCTTTAAAAAGAAGTAGGTTCTTAGTTTGTAACTTTTTTGTCTGTTAACTCATAACTCCGTTAGTTGTAAACCGATTTGGAAAATTCTTTTACATATAAATATATATTTTTTATAAATTAAATCTTTATTTTTTTTAGATTGGCCCCGTAGAAATGTTATCAAAAATCGATTCGGTCGTTTTATTTTTAGACCAAAATAACTGGTTTTGTAACAATTGAAGTCCTTTTCGTTTTGTGGGACACAACTTTTAATTATTAGAATTAATATAAGTACTTAGTAATGACTAGTGAAATGTCATAAGTTACTGATACTATGAACAATTTTATTTTCCTCACTATTTTACATTCGTTAAACACTGTATGGGGGTGAATAATTTACTACAAGAAAAAGAGGGATATCGAACGTGACTCAGTAACAGCGCAACCACCCCAGTCTAAACTTCGGGAAAACCCCAATGTGTAACAATCCAAGCATCAGTGCCAAAGTAAAATACACATAGTAATAAAAAAATAATTTGGTCGTGTGGTCCCGGCATAGAATAGGCCACCCCTTCCTATCCTGTGAATATCGTAAGTGGCGACTA